TGTTAGTATGAGCTATAAAAACATCGCGCGGGGACAGCAGAGGTTCCTTCCAACAGTGCAGGGTCGAGGGGCAGCGTGTGACCCCCCCACTCTCCAGGGGTGGCCCTGGGGACCAGCCATCGCGTTACTTTTGCAGAGCGAGGGAGAGCCGCAGCCTTTCTTCTGCAACGGCGAACTGTGCCTCCAGGTTGCTGTGCTGCAAGGGGAAAGGGAAAAAAGGGGGTCCTCACCAGGATCCTGGCTCCCCTCAATCACCCCAGCCCCACAGGACGCCCTGGGCAGGAATCTCCCAACAGACGCCCCTGCCCGCTGTCGCGCAGCTCTCGCACCGGTGCTGTTGCAGATCAGCTGGGTGTTCCGGCCCCCCCCAGCCTCAGAACGCTGCAACTCACCACATCCAGGACAAAGAGGGGTTCGGCAGTGGAGTCTGAGGGGGAAACCCGGAACCTGGCGGTGCTGAAGAGCTGCACAAAGCTTTTGTCCGGGGTTATGGTCACCACAGGGGCTTTCGCTTCTTTCATTTCAACCACCATCGGCTGTGAGGGAGGCAGCACCCTGGAAATGTGTGGAGAGTCAAAGCAGAGGGGTGCCATCCCCGTTCCTTCCCAGTTCACTGCTCTGCGGGTGAGCCCAGCAGGTGCTGAGTGTCAGTGACGTTCACCAAAGTCAGTGGGAGTCAGTCAGGCTGGTCCATCTGCTGACTAGTATGTCCCTTAAATAATCTTATTAGCACAAGTTTTGCTAATAAAATAATGAGTTTGACTTTGGGGAGAAGGTTCCCAGCATGTCTTTGTGAGGGGAGAGCAGCTTTATCTGCTCCCTGGGGTGACCCACAGACCTGCAGGCTCAAGCAAAGTCCACCCACTTAGGGGAGGAGGGCTCCGAGCATTGTGGTCACCAGTGGGGGAAGCCCCAAAACCTGTTGAGAAAGTGTCACAGGGTGAGGACTTAATGCACAGGGTGGGGGGACTTGAACATGGGGAAAGGGCACAGACAGCGGCACGGATCTGCCTTGAGCTTGAGTGCAGATTTCTTTAGTGGTCTCTGGAGGGAAAACTCAAGCCCAAACCAGCCACCATGTTACTGGTGATCTCCCGGCTGAAGGAAGCCTGCAGAAGAGAGAGCTCAGCGCTGTTTGCAGACAGGATGAGCTGGGTGGTCCCATCTGTCTTGAGTGGCAGAGAAGCAAGAGGCGGCTTGTCCGTGCGGAGATCAACCTCCCTCCCCTCCTTTTGGGGCAGAATGGTCTGGAAGGAGCAGTAAGAAGGGCTGTGTCAGGGAGCACAGCCCCACTTCCAGGATTTGTGTTTGGACCAGGCACAAGGCACAGGATGCTTTGCTCTGCAATGAAACGGAGCGTTAAACTCCACAGAAAAGGGTGAGCTGAGGAGGCTGAGGTGATGGAGTGAAATGCCCACACCCTCGCAGAGCCTCAGATAAACACCCCTGAGCAAACAGACGTCAGAAACATCACCGCTCCAAGACGTGGCGCTGGGCAGCGGCGCTCACCTGCAAACCCAGCTCGATGAAAGTTTCATGCATCACAGGGGGTGTCAGCAAGGTGTACCACAGGGTCCCCACGGTCCCGAGCGGGATCTCAGCTGCGTGGGAGCAAAGAGGGCTCCTTCACCAGCACCAGGGCCACATGCCCACGGGCTCCTGCCTCCCTGCCAGCTTTGGGGGGACCAGGCTCTCCTGAAACTGCACCCAGGAGTGGGTGGATATTCGTGTGGCCCCCGTCAGGGTTTGTCTCTGCCTGGTCCTAGTCAGGACTCAGCAGATTGTCTGTCCCCAGTGACAGATCTGCTCTCTCCCCTGGCAGGGGGAAGGCAGGAGATGGGTGAGATGGCTGGTGGAACGATGAATGGATGCCAGCTTACAAGTCATGGTGGTGAATTTTGCATTCACAAGGTTGAGCACGGCAACCACGGCTGGGCACAGCTGTAGGAGAGAAGAAAGGAGTGAGAAAACCTTGCACAGAGGCTTCTGGAGGGAGCAGAGCTTCACGGCTGCCAGTCCAGCACAGCTCCCCCCCAGAAGCAGCAGAACCCTCTGTTAGTCATCACCCAGGCAAGGACTGGCCTCAGTTTCCTCTATCCCTGGTTGAACTGGCTTATTCTGGAGTAAACCCGGAGGAGGAGGATGAGGAAGAGGAGATGATCTCCAGAAGACAAGGATGGGAGGAGGAGTAGACTTACCAGACCTGGTAGCACTTTCAGAAGGGTGCTGTGCAGAAACCTGCTCATGGCTTCGGGCAGCGCGCTGGGCAGAGAAACACATCAGCCGACACCGCAGGGGTTAATTGCCAGAGCTCAAAAGGCAGGAGTCAAGTGCTAAAGAACCCTGCCTGGTATGGATTAGGTCAAAATACACCCAATGTCTCATAAAAGGGGTTTTCTCTCTTTACAAACCTTTTCTCAAGAATGCCATCTTCTGGCTTTAAGCAAAGCTAAAGGTTTCTGTGCCTGAACGAAGCTCTGACGTCCCAGGAGCACAGCACTGCAGTGGGGACTGGTGCTGCGGGGAACACCACAGCCAGGGCTGGCCTCAGTTTGTCCAGAAAATGTTTGGCTTTTCTTAGTGGAAAAATGAACAGCAGAAAGTATTTGCGTTCTGTAAAAACCCACACCCGGGGACTGAAAGATTTATCACTGCTGTTACCTGCCTCCAAGGAATCACCGGCGCTGCCCACTGGGGCCTTTGGATCTCTTTAATTACATGCTACAGGCAGAGGTGGAGAAAGGAGAAACCTAAGTCTTGTCATGGTAAATTCTGCTTTTGGAAACACCCGTGTAACTGAGACTCTCGGGCTGGGCAGCTCCTGCTCCCCAAAGGCTCAAACGCTGGGGCAGGACATCACCAGTCCTGCCTGAGCTGGGGCTGGTGACCACCACCGTGTCCTCCCCATCCCCTCCCAGGTACCCCCCAGCAGGAACCAGCTCTGGGCGTTCACCCTGATAGATCCTGCAGCACCAAGTAATTTATTTCGTCCCTTCGTTCCTGTATAAAACATGTCATGAGGTTTAATCTGTCATTACCTCCCTCCCTCTCTGCTCAGCCCAGACAGGCAGATTTACATCTTATCTAACAGGAGTGTGAGATTTATAGATAACTCCGGTGAGGAGCACATCATGCCAAAAAGGCACTTTTGTGCTAGTAACTTGATCAGTCATTATGCTATAAGCTGACATCTAATTAAGCCTCCACAGGGATCATTGGGTCCAGAACAGCTCTTCAGGAGGAGAAAATCCACCTCTAAGCACCACGGTGACATCTCATCCCGGCAGCTTATCCCCAGACCCTTGCACTGCTGTAAATCATAATAAATAAGTCTCCGGTGCTGCTTCAGGAAGAGCTGCCAATATTGCCTACACTGGAACAAGGTGTAGCAGGGACAAATTTCCAACCGTTGCTCTGAAACGCAGCAAAATCTTATTTCTCAGAGACTTTTCCATGTTGTGTCCACGTCCCTGCTAAAATCAGATGTCAGGAAATGCCTCCTGTGGCCCCAGGAGACGCATCTGCAGGTTACAACCTCCTCAGTGGATTTACTTTTCTGAACACATTTCTTGCCTCCAAACGGGCTGTGCACACCAGCAGCGTACACCCCGCTCTCCCTCAGCAGGCTGCGAGGTGCCTACCTTCCTATTTTCTCTCGCCACCGCTCTCCAGATGGGAACACACGACGTGGCTGAACCCCTGCTCGTCTCGGCGTCTCGTTGTCACACTGGAGAAGGAAAGCAGCACCCGGGTTTGGACGTGCCAAGAAGCACCTGGACCCCGTAACTCAGCGCACAAAGCACAATGGGCGCCGCGCCGGCAGCAGGTGTTTCAACAAGCGCTGAACACCTGATCCCATTGCCAAGGGATCCCAACCAAAATGGGCAGTTTGACCCTCTCTGAAAGGCTGGTCATGCCTCGAAGCCGAGATCACAAGGAGCTGGGGGGAGGATGCACTCACCTGGCATTTGTGGGTCCTCCCCGCTCTGTCCTGCAGAGCAAAAGGAAGGCAGGAGGGCACGATGGACACCAGGCACGGGAAGGAGAAGGGCTCTGACTCCCCTCCATGGATGCCTTCACTGCTTGTAGAGACATTAGCAAAGAGGGTGGATGGCACCCACCATTTTTTCTACCAGTTGCACTAAATCTTGGCAGTGGCTTTTGATTGGGAATGGGTTAAAGAGAAGATGGAATTATTGCACGTGGGAATTCCAGAGCTTAGAGGAGATACCTTAAAAAAACTGATGTGATTGTCTGCTGTAAAACTCACTGAAAAGTTTCTTCACTAAGAGGGTTGTCAGACATTGGAACCGGCTGCCCCAGAGGTGTTTAAAAGACACGTAGGTGAGTTGCTTGGAGAGAGGGGTTAGTGGTGGACCTGGCATCGCTGGGCTAATGGTTGGACTCAATCTTAAAGGTCTTTTCCAAGCCAAACAATTCCATAACTCTGTGAAACACTCCTGTTGCCTTCACAAGACATACCCAGGCCTGATAGAAACCGAGGGCACCCTTGATGACTTGCCAAGACCCCACTTCAGCCTGACATGTGCAGGTCTCACCCCTTCTGGCCTGAGCCGCCTAGCCAGGAAAGCAACACAGACCATGGCAGGTTCTTGCTGGTGTGGGCACGGTGGCGGCTGTCCCTGTGGCAGAAAGCAGGGCTGCAGAGCAAAGAAACTGATGTTCACTTTCTAACAACATTTGATTTCTTGGCACCCTCCACCCTGAGACCTTTCTTTGTGCTCCTTGCTAACAGCATGGCAAAGACAAGCTGCCCCAGCACGGGCTGTTCAACCCTTCACCTCGCTGCGTCAACGGCCAGAGTAAGCAAGTACATGGGAAACAATAAAAATGGTGTATAAAGCAACGTGTCCACACCGAGGCCTGGCTCCCAGCCACCTTGGCCAGTTTCTGCCACACTAGCCTTGGTCGTGAGGGTTATATAAAGGCACGACAATTCCTTGGAGCGGCCACAGCACGACACGGGCTGAGTTAGAAGAATGGGAAGACCGGCCAGGAAAGGTAAAGCTGCAGTTTCAAACCGAATGACTTGAGGTTAGCATTGCTTGTCCTTAATCTGTGTGTCTCCGCAAGGGTCAGTCCTCAGGATTTCTGCAAAGACTGGTATAAATACGCATGTTTTCTGCAGGTTAAACTCTTCAAATTTTTTTGGATTTTTAATATTTTAAGAGCATTGCAAACATTATCAACAATTCCCTGATGTTTCTCAGAGATAACTCACCTTTTCATTTCAGCTCCTGTTTATTTTCTAGTTTGACACCGGCTGTAGCCTGCTGTGTGCCCTGCAGCAGGCAGGGTGTTGGTGCAACACCCTCAGACTCATGGGGGATTTGCAAGGCTGAGCCTTCTCTTCGTGCTCTTAAACCCTGGGCACCACGTCAGAGCTGTGCTGATAAGCTGGGGACTGCAAACCTGAGCCAGCAGCAGCTCCGTAGGTGCCCTGACCGCCCTGCTGCGGGTCCCTCCTCCCCCAGGTGCCGGCACGGCGAAGCTCCACACCCTGAGCATCCTCCTGAGCCTCCTGGTCCCCGCTCACCTCACCAGGTCACCCGACTGTGGCGGCATCCTCACCCCATCAGGACTGAGCTACTGTAAGTCTGGAGCCCGGCTCTCCCGGGGATGAATCGCCAAACACAGTCACCAGAAACCGAAGCTGTGGATCAGTTCGCTGGCCTCGTCTCCTTTCTAGAGCCAGTAACGGGGGGTTGGCAGGGGCTGGAACTGTGTCACCTGGACAAGGTTCAGCCTGTCCATCAGAACACAAGCTCCTGAGGGTCTCATGATGTACCTGCCCTGTTTCACAGTCGCTGAAGTTTCAAAGCCCTATGCAGAGGCAATCCTCCAGCAAGAGTTCCTGACCCCGACAGCCCCAGACCTGTTTCCCGACTCCCCGAAGCCCAGCGGGTGAGTCCATGGCTCCGCCGAGCCCAGGCTCTGTCAGCCAGGCTGGGGCTTGACTGGAGCGCTTTGAGTGCTGTCACAAAAAGCAGCAACCAGAGACCAACACGGCTGGTCACCAGAGCAGATTAGGAACAGGCTCTCAGCTCCTCCTTTGGGGTCTAAAGTCAGGAGCTCTGGTGCCACTGATTGATCTCATGGACTTTTGAAGTTTTCCCACCGTAAGAGCAGCCAGGGATGGCACATCAGTCCGTGCTCATCTCCTCACACCCTCACTTCTGCTCCAGCAGGAACCAAATTGACTCTGTCAAGGTCGCCGAGCTGTCCCTGTCGCTCATCCTCTACAGCGGGCTGCGGCTCAGCATCGATGTGGACCTCGGCATCACACCCACCCCGTGAGTGCCGGGGCCGCGGGGCTGGAAGCAGCCTGAGCTCCCAGCTGGAGCAATGGAGCTACATCCAGCACCTGCCGTCCTACCCACAGGATCAGGGGGTTCTGGGGTGAGGGGACCTGGAGCAGTCCCCATGCCCCAGCCTCTCCTCTCCCGGGACAGCTCGACCACCAAGGTGATGAGGCTGTCCATCCTGGCCGACCTCCACATGGATATGAGCCCCGAAGGGAACCTGGAACTGGTGACCTCCAGCTGCAAACCCACCGTGGAGGAGCTGCAGAGCACCGAGGAGATGGAAAGGTCAACCCCACAGTTTTCCTGGTTATGTGATCTGGGTAACAGTGGGAGAGGAAGAAACTGAGGCACGAGCATTTCTAAGCAGGAAAATGACTAAGATCTGCTCACTGCCCTAACAGCTTACAAAGGTCAACACAAAAACCTTACCTTCAGGGGAGGAGCTTTGTTCTGCTCGCTGGCTTGCTCTCCCCCATTTAAGAGTTTCTTTCTCTCACAAGGGAGAGGCTCTTTGAAGCAGTGTAGCAGGAACATTTTCAATGCAAGCCCAACAGCAATTCTTCAGCGTTTTAGGATTATGAATTGCAATTGTAGCTTAACAGGTGACAGGAAATAAAGGGAACACTGTTCCTGGCTGCTCCGGGGTCAGGTAAGAGATGCTCACTGACCCTTGGCTCAGCTGGTTCTTGCCTTCACATCTTCCATTCTGTTGTTTTCATCCAGCAACTCCTCTAGTTCAGACATGGACAAGGAGATTAACATCGATAAGGTAAGACAGAATTTGTAAAGGCATGAGACAGGAGAAGAGAGTTCTGTAATCATTAGAGCACTGAAAGTCAACCTCTGGCTTTGCCAGGTCTCCCCACAGCCCCGTGGTGCTCAAACGTTGCCGCACTCCCTGTGTGCTGCACAGCCAGATCGTGGGGACAGCAGCAGCAGCAGCTCCCAGGGGACCCCGGGGGACAGCAGACCCTCACATTCATCTCCTGCCTCCCTTTTTGTTCCTTATTCCACAGATTTGCTCAGAAGTCTCCAAATTGCTGTTTTTGCCAGATCAACAGCTGATGTCTCTGACAAGTGAGCATTTGGCTTTCAGTCTTGTTATGGACTGAAGGGCTTCAGGGCTCATTTCGGAGCAGGTCAGGAGGTGGGATGGGCCTCCACACCCACAGAAGCAGCAGCTCCGCTGCCTTCATCCCCCTGGGGACCCACTCCCACTGCCCATTTCCCTTTCCCTGGCTCTTTGCTTGGGAAACCCAGCCCTGACCTGCTGTCACTGCTCCCCTCCACCTCCTGAGCGCCCCTCTGCTCACTTTGTAGCACTGTTCCCTGTCACACCAAGCTGCCAGCTCCAGTACCGGCCCCTGGCTGCACCCCTGTTCTCCGAGCAGGGAATCACTGTGTCCTTGCAAGTAAGTCCTTGCCCTCACAGACCAGCTGGGGCTTTGGAAGACCCACTCCCTGCCTGGGCTCTGTGCCTCAAGACACCTCAAACTCCTTTTTTCTTTGTCTGTGTCCCCACAGACAACATTCCAGGTGGCGGGGATAGCGATCCCCCCGCCCGTCAGCCCCATGCCATTCAGCATGCCCAAGCCAGCGAGTTCCAGCCCTTCCCACCTCATCCTGGCTTTCTCTGAGCACTTCTTCACCAGCCTCTTCTTCGCCCTGGAAATAGCTGGAGACTTCAATATGACCATCCCGGTGAGTAGGGCAAGTGAGCAAGGAAGGAGTAGAAAACATACACGTGGAAGCACAGCCCTGCTCCACAAACAGCTTAGAGAAGCCGTGCGCCCTGCGAAGAAATGGGAGTGTGTCACTGCACAACGTGAGCCCCGGAGCAGCGGTCCCGAGCACCCGTCAGTCGGATCACAAGCTCTGCTTTGTCTTTCAGACCCCGCTGACCACCGCCACCGTGGCACAGAATATTACTCAGGTTCGTTGCTGTCGCTCTGAGAGGCACAGCCCCAGCTCAGGCAGCACACCCAGCCACCCGGCCACCACCCCAGGCACCAGAGATAACGCCCCCGTGCTCCCTCGGCAGGTGGGCTCCCTCTTCCAGGAGGACCTACCCGTGATGCTGCAAGCCGTGTTCAGGAGCTCGCCCCGGGTGGAGCTGGAGGAAGGCAAGGCAGTGCTGAAGCTCTTCCTCACCATCCACCTCTGGGCAGGATCACCACCTTTCCAGAGCTTCCTCACCGTGCACGTGGTGAGTGTGCCCCATGAGCAGGAGTGCCAAACGTGCTCTGTGAGCCTGCCCGAGCTGCACAGGGGCGATGCCCTGCGCTCCCAGAGCCAGCCGGGTGGCAGCCATTGCAGGGAGGTGATTTAGCCTTCACCTGTCCTGGCACTCACAGTCCGAGCAGTGTTGCCCTCCGCTGGGCAGAGCCGGGTGCGAGCAGCACATGGACGGGTTTGTTGCATCCGACTATCCAAAGCTGAGGCAGGCTCACTCGGACCCTGCCGTCTCGTTTTCCCCTGTAGGACATGCCTGCAGAACTCCTCTTCAGCGTCGTTGACACGAAGATGATGATCTCTGCAGCAGCGACAGAGTAATGAGCTCAGCTGAACCCCGAGTCCTTGAAGGGGATGCATCCCAGTCATAGCAGGGAAAGGAGAAGTGAAGCGGTCCAGGGAATTTCTTAGCTTTTATAGCTTGGGCGCTGTAGAGGTAGCTCTATCCTGAGGGAAACAGCAAGACTCCAGTAACGTGGTTATAGAGAAGAGTGGAAATTGCACCCTGGGTGACCCCCCACACCCCAGCACACTCTGCCTGTTCCTACCCCAAGTTTCCGCCCCGTCTGCTCCCCCCAGCACAGCCCGCTGCTTCAGCGGGGCCCGTGGAGCTGTTCTGGCTGGGTTCTGGGGACCAAAACCTCCCCAAGCCCCTGTGGCTGTGCCCAGGGGGAACATTAAGGTTCCAGCTGCCCAGGGACCACCTTCACTGCTGGCTTGCCCTGGCCTCAGCCCCCGTGTTTGGGGGAACATGGAAGTCGCTGCTTATTGCAACATATCACAAGCAGCTCCTTTGTTTCCCAGGGAGTACGAGCTCAGCCTGGCTGCCTCCGACGTGGGTGCCGTGCCGGTAGGTGCCCCCAGTGACCCACTGTGTCTCCTCCTCGCACCGCGCTGCTGTGACTGCTGTGACAACAGCCCTGCCACGCTCAGCTGCACCAGCCAGCCCAGACTGCCCTCCTGGGCAGGGTTATCAACAGAAAAATATTTACTTTGGGTGCTGTCTGCACCCTGCAGGAGGGAGAGGCAGGACTAGGAGAGGCGCAAGTACCAGGACCCCTCTCCTGCTGGTCCCTGCCCCTCTCCACCTGCTTTAGCGTCACGCCCTGAGCTGACCGTGGATCTCTGCCCGGCAGGCTGCCTTACTGGAGGAGTTATTCTTGCCCACAATCCGTAAGGAGGTGCCAGCTCAGGTGAACGGTGAGTTTTGGGGGAGTTGCTCCCACACGGCGAGGCCGAAGGCAGCGCCTGGCCGGCAACTTCCCCTCTTCTCTTTCCCAGCGGTGCTGAGCGAAGGCGTGTTCCTGCCCCACGTCTCCAACTTCACCTACAGGGACGTCAAGGTCGTGATTCACAAGGTAAGAAATAAGACATTTAAATTGCCCCCCGCTATGTTCAGTTTAAAAGAAACCGAGAGCGACGCTTACCTCCTGGCTCCAGCACCGCTCAGAGCCTGCTCCTCTAGCTCCGCTAACCCACAGAAGCCAGTTTCCCACCAGTTAACTGGTTAACCCACCAGTTTCACCAGTTTAAGCAGCCACAGCCCCTCTCCAGCCCCTGCCATGGGCAGGAGCGGCGCGGAGGGGCCGCTGAGGGCACCGTGCTCAGCCCTCGCCCCCTCCACGTGCTTAGGACTATGTCTTGGTCCCCTGCAACCTCCGGCTGAAGGAGACCACTGCGGGCTGAAGTCTGGCGTCCGGAGTAAAACAGTGCCAGAGTTGTTACCTCGACTCTTAAAACATGTTTTGTCACTGCTTGAAACGGTGAAAAATCTTCTTTCTCGCCTAAGTAAAACACCACTTGCTCAGCTCTGAGGTAACAGCATTGTGCTAGCGGCTTCCTGTCCCAGCCCTGCTCTTGGCATCTTTGTTGCACAAAGAGGATGGATTGTAATAGCGTCCCACACTCTAATTAAATGTTTCTCTTCCATATTGCATTTTCTGGTAAGAGTACTGACTCCCTTCCCCTCAACAATTTGTACCTAAAGACAGATGAATTTTTTCTTGCTAAGACCTGGTGCCAGTACTGATGCCCAGAGCTTACATTTAATTAAGGGGGCATGAAAATCCCACTAATTTATAAGGATGCAAAGCATGCATAAATGCAACATGGCCCTGACCAACAAGAGATCTTTTATCTGCTTTTCCTCCACTTCTCATGTTACTATGGGAACATTACGGCTGGTGGTTTTCCCTGGGTCAGAAAGAAGGGGAGGGGAAAAAAAAAAAAAGAAAAAAAAAATCAGTCTGCACAATGGTTTCTAATTTTAGAGTCCAAGGCAGTTGTAGTTGCAAAGCTACACTTTTGACAAAGCTCATCACAGAGAAAACGCCAGATGAAACGTGCCCACACAGGCACCTGCCCAAGGGCACCGGCGTCTCCGGATGCTGGAATGCTCTTTCTTACTGCCCAAAGGGAGGGGAAAAAATCCCACCACAGACTGGAGTGTCCAAAGGGAAGGGTGGGCTCCTAACGGAGTCCCTGCAGCTGCCCCATTGCCCCCGGGCAGGGCGAGAGCCCCTCGGTGCTGCCCACGCAGCTCCCGCCCGCGCTGCGCAGCGCTATGCCCACGGAGCCGTATAATTACATATTCATCTGCTTTCACTTGCAACAGCTGTACACATCATTTCTAGCCTCTGGAGCTGCTGAGAAGCACTTCAAAACCTCATATTTCAGAGACTGAGAAATAGGAAAGCAAACAAAACAAGCCAAGTTGATTTATTATAAGGAGTAAAAAACCCTGAAGGTTTACATGCCCAGCTTGGAGACCTGACTAATGATTTTAATGCCCAAAGTTGGCAATAGCGGGAACTGCTCCTAATAAAAGTTTCCTGGTAGAGCTGCAACCATTATTCTTTGACTAATATATCTTAAACCAGTTTCCCAAAAGGCATAAGCTACAGCAGTATAAAAAAAGAGATGTATTTATTTGCCAGCGGATATTGTGGCTCTAGGTGTCAGCGCACGGCTCTGCATCTCCAGGGTAGGGTTGGGGACCCGGGAGCTGCACCCCAGCCCTGCTCCAAGCCCCATGTGTCATCCTACCTGAGACCAGCTCTGGAGAACTGGGCTCTGCTGCCGTCCCTCCTGCCGCTCCACTTACCGGCCCCCTGGCACCGCTGCCCGGCCAGTGTTGTCCCCAGCAGCCCCTTCACGATCACCTGGAAAAAGAAACGCTGAAATAAGTGTTTGTGTGGGATATTTAGAGAACAGTGGACATGTTTTGAACAAACCAGGCATCCTGTTTTTAGACAAGTTTTAGGCCTTGCTTGACAACAGTTTGTGAAGGACATTGTGAAGGTCACTTTCTGTGAGATTATGCTGAAGCAAATTAAAACAAGGAGTTGTGACCGGTGTACATGACTGAAAAAGAAACAAACCCAGGCTGCAGGTGGGGAGAAACAGGAGTGTGATCAGCGGCAAAGAGCGAATCAGCAAAAGGAAAACAACTCGTGAACAGGAGCATGGACTGCGTGTGCTTGTCGTTAATAGCCCATCAATAGAGAGCATTTAGAAAACAAGGACGTTGTGAACTGTATATTAACTGCGTTAGTGCGTTAATAAAGTGGCATTTGCTTGATCACATTGATCGTCAGCAGTGTCCGTGACTTCCGCGTCGACATGTTTGTACCCGTGTCTCTGGCACAGAGAAAACCCGTCATTTTCCTGGGCAGAACCCCGCAGGAATTGCTGCTGGGTGATGCACGGCTTCCCCGGCTGGGGGCACACGGCAGGGGACGGACTGAGGGTTCAGGCACTGGGAGGGGCAGAGATGAGCCCCTTCGCCAGCCCCTTGAGCCGCAGAGGCAAAGCATTACCAGGATATTCCTGGAGCAAGAGCTGGAGAGCCCCAAGTCCCGCAGAACCCAGGAAGAGCAAGGAGCCCATCACGTCCCGCTCCTCACCTGTAAAAAAGATTTTCCAGCACGTCACACTGGAAAACAACTGTTTAAGTGGGTTTCCCACCGTGGACAGGATTGTCCCAGTTCACAAGAACTTGCAGTTTCCTGCTCTGGATTTACTCCAGCAATTCAGAGCACCAAAGTTACGAGGGGCAGAAGTAAGGAGATGCTGTGCTTCCCTTCCCAACAGGTTCCTCTGCTCCCTCCCACCCAGCCCTGTGTGATAAATGGGGTGATGGAGGTCCCCGGAGCAAAAGTCATTCCATGATCTGACTTTCCCACTATCCCAAGCTTGTGCAGCCCCTGCCCCGAGCTCTGCAGCGACACACTTGCCTCCGCCGCTTCTTCCTCGGGTCCAACAGACCCTCGGGACAGTGACAGATCACAGACCTTTCTGTAGCACCAGCAAAATTAATCCCCTCCAGCAAACCAGAGTGCACACAGAAGCGCTGCCCAGACCAGCGTACAAAAAACGTGTCAAACTCTATTTACCGATTGGAGGGTGTTTGCTCAGGAACCAGAACAAAACCATGCACAAAGCAAGCCCGTTACGCCAGCCTGCGGGCAAAGGGATGGGTGGAGAAGCCAAGTGCAATCAGTAATAACACCTAGTGCTGGGAAAGCAGGGGCTTGAGGGGCCATTTCAGACTTCAGATTTTTATATTTGTTTTTCCGAAATAAAAAAATACCTGAATTCTCTTCCCTGTGACGTGCGGGGACCAAGCGACTGTTCCTCAGTCTAAGCAGACACAGGCTCTGGCGGCACCCTGCTTCTCCATTACCTTCAGGTTCTATTAGGAAACGCTTCATGACCTTTGGAATTTTTATTTCATTCTCATTTTTGCTTGTGGATTAGCATTTGGTCAGTGGGTTACCTGGCCAGAGCAGCCACTGAAAATCCAAATGTTTGTGGAGTTTTTTTTCCCCCCTCAGGAAGTTTGAGTGGAAAGAGTATTCAAATTGAAAACCAAAACAGCAGTTGTCACAAAGGGGGCAGATCCCAAGGCAGGACAGACACTCTCCCTGAGAAGTTTCAGAAACCAGAACCTCATTCCAAGAACTAAGAAGTAGGAATGTTTATTATTAAGAGAGTTACATGACAAGCGTATCCTGAGCTCCTGCTCAGCATTTCGTACCCTTCCAAACGTGGATGGGGACAGCTACTTAGAAAGCCGTGTGCAATTTCTCCATTATATCAAGAATAATTTCCTCCCCACACTGCAGCATCACAGGCAACTGCTCTACCTGTGACTCCCACATCACGCTGATTTCTCTAAATAAATATTTTTACACAGAGCTGCCTATCAGGTTTTGGCTTGGGCAAGTGTTCTAGTTCTCCCACAAGCCAATGAACTTGAAAGTCTCTTAAATATTATCATGAATAAATTAATTACATTAATTAAATATTATCTTGAATCAAGTTTAGGAAAGAAAAGCAGAAGATGCCAGTCTCGATGCTCCATCCTCGCTGATCTTTCTTCCCTTTTCTCTGCCCAGAAAGGCCTCTCGGTGCCTCGGACTGCCTGGCTCACACCAGAATCATCAGCAGCCCCTGAGGAAGCGCAAGGAGTGACACAACCCCGTTATTTCCTGACCTGGGGGATGCTGGTTCCCAGCGGCTGCTCAGCAACGCACAGCAAACAGAGCACCCTCCTGCAAAATCCCTCCTGTCAAACGGGTGAGGAGCAGGGCATGGCACCCTTTGGGAAGCTGCTCTGGGACATCTCCAGGGTGCACAGGGCTGCAGTTTGGTGCAACTCAAGACACTGAGCAGTGCCACTCGGAAGGCCTTGCAGCCCCCCGGAGCCAGCTGAGAGCCACCCAGGGAAGGGAGGGCAGCCTGGGCAGGGGAGCCAGGACTCAGCCCGGAGGGGCTGAGCGCTGCTCGCTGGGTACCTGGTTTGATAACATGCATGAGCATGAAGTACTCGGGCAGCATTTTCTGACCTGAAGGAGGTCAGACAGAGCAACTCTTTCTTGCCTTCCAGGGCTTAAAATCCACAGCTCTTCCATCCGAGCCACCAGCGCCGGGGCCGGCACAGGAGCCAGGAACAACCCAGCAGGAGGACCAGCTTTTCCGAGCACTTACCAACAATATCCGAATATCCACCTTGATGAAGGGGATGCCCAGCACGTTTGGCAGAGGGATGCCGATGCTCAGACAGGCTGCAAGGGACAGGCAAGTCCTTAAGCACCGCAGGAAAGGGGAGCCCAGCTCCTGCCCCACCACGGAGCCATGCCCGCAGAGCGGGAGGCACCGACGGCCGCACCGCGCCTTTGGCTTTCTGTAATTTCTCTGCCACTAACTGTTGCCGAGGCCCTTAGGACTGAGGGTGGGTGAGTGGTGTAAGGGTGAGGCTGGGACTTTTATCAGAACGGGGACTGCAGCCCTTGAACCGTCTCTGTTTTCAGACAGGCACATGGATCCCTCTCCAAGCCTCAGCCCGAGTGCTGCCAGCGTCACCCCGGTCTCCTCACCGTTGATACGGGGCAGCAATGTTTCCACGAGCAGAGCACTGCAGTGGGGCTTCAAGTTCGAGATCTGGACCAGAGAAGGAACAAGCAGGTGAGCCAGGCACACGCGGCAGCGGCAAGCACAGCCCCGTGCTGCGGCCGCGACACAGCCGGCCCTCGGCACTGAGAGTCACTCCCCACTGACACAGCAAAAGAATAAATAGTTCCCCCTTTCTTTAAAGCAAATCTACTTTTCTCCCTCAATTTGTATTCAGTGTTTCCTTCAGGAAACTTTCTATCACGTCAAAATCCTGCTGGGGCTCTGGATAAGCTTCGCCCAAGCAGGGGTGAACAGACAAGCAGACTTCAGGCTTTACTTTTGCATTATTAGAAAAGGCAGAAATTTAAAAAAAAAAAAAGTGAGCAGCAAAAGAATTGCTACGACCTACAAAGTAGAGCAGCTAACAGCTAAGCCCATCAGCAGAAACCTATCACAGGCAAGACACAGCACCCAGCAATCACCCGTCCCCTTGGCTCCCAGAGCCACAGGCACGGCGCTCGGTGCTGCCCGCCTGGGGAAGCCCAGGCTGGCGCCAGGGACTTACGTTACTGATGCCAACGTCAGAAGACTCCAAGGAGAGCAATATGCTGCAGGAAAGGAAAGCAAACTGCATGTCAGACACATTGGCCAGAGCTCACAGACCTGACAGCGAGAGCCTAGCGCAGAGCAGCGTTACCCACCCGGGGCAAGGCATCCCCGTGAGCCATCGTCACATCTGCAAAGGGGTCGCAGTATTGCAACACACAAAGCAGGTGCTGCCATGCTTGCAAGAGAGAAAATGGGGAAAAAAAGCTTCACCTAATTTTTATTTGCTTGCAAATTAAGCGGCACCACACACTAGCTGCTGGCTTGCCCTTCCCTCTCCCGTGCCCAGGTAATTCGCCTTGGGAAGAGTCGGCTCCTGGTTAGCCGAGAGCAGAGCCTTCAGAAAAAGCATCCAGTCTGGATTTAAAGATCATGAGTTGTGGAGAAATTGCTTCGGCTCCTAATCTATCATTGCAATCAGACAACTATCTCCATAAGTAAAACATACGCTTTATTTCCATTTTGAATTTCTCTTTTCTGCTTCAATTGAATCTTGTTATAGCTTCATCTGTTGAATTAAAAGCCCTTTGATGCATTTCTATTGTCTGTATTGAGATGCCAAGCGATGCCAATGCTGCTTCTAAATCTAGCTCTTTGACAAGCTAAATGTCTTGAAATCCTCAAACCTCACGCTAGAAGGAACGCTTTCCAACTTTTAATCATACCTTGACTGGCATTAAGGGCAGTACTTTCCTTAACTCCTTTATCACTCATGTCCAATATCAGACATTTGGAACTGCTCCCCAGGATCACAGTCAAGCTGATGGTCTTACAATTATTCAGGTTACCTCGTTTCTCCTGGTTATAAAACTGACACAGGCTTTTCCTCCAGCCTCCTAAAACTTCCCCATGGCTGTGATGTTTCCCGAGCGTCAGCGATACCTCGTCCACCTCCTGCCACCAGCCAGGTATGAACCTCTCAAGCTCAGGAAACAAAATGTCTGTTTTACAGACACGGAAAAATATTTCAAGTGAGTGGCCCCAGAGCCAAGGCTTTGATGTGGGGAATGACACCAGCCGGGACAAGGGCAGTGCTGCCCCTCTTTGTCACACTCCTGTCCCTCCTTCTGCGATTCAGGCAGCACTGTGGCACTGAGGGACACGCTGCTACGGCACACAGAGCCCCCCTGGTGAATCACCCCAGGGACAAGCCCTCCTGCCCCGGGGACAAGCCCACCTGCCCAGGGACAAGCCCAGCACCAGTCTGCCTCCAACGATCGACGCGTGGGCATTCAGACCGAGGTCCTGCAAGCAGACAGAGAGAGGATCAGCCCACGGAGATGTCATGTCCTCATCGCAGCGCCCGCCACTCGGCCAGCTGCACGCTTCACCGGTTTGAGGTCTTTACATGCACACTTACAGCCTTCAGCAGCAGGAGGTTGATGATGGATCCATCCGAACCCTTAATGAACACCTGAATCATGACTGAAAGCTCGACGGTGGCTTTGTTCTCTTCCAAGAGGATGAGTGGCTTCCCAGACAATGCCAGCGTAATGCTCAGGCCACTGGTCCCAGGGCAGGAGGAGCACTGTGGGGATGGGGGGCACGTGGAGGTGGCTACCTGCACCCCACACACCAGCAGTCTTCTGGAGCCCTCTCACAGCCGCACAACCCTGTGTCACACAGACCCTGGACAAGCCACATTTACAGAGTGAACAGGTCTGGCAGCACGGGTTGGCACTCCTTGCTGGGGCAGTAAGTGGCTGAGGAAGCAAAGCCTGTGGCCATGAGGGGGTGCCCGGGAAACAGGAGACACCAGGCATTTATCATCTCTCTCTGTCAATGATTCCCTGCTCAGGGAGCAGGTTGGCTACAGCCGATGGCGCACGGGAGAGCAGAAGCTGCCGAGGGCTGGGCACAAACCTCTGGTCCCTTCACCCGCTCCAGATCAGCCGGTCGGGGCGGCCTCGAGCTACACTGGCAGGGGA